GTTAATACTCTCTCTCTCTCTCTCTCTCTCTCTCTCTCTCTCTCTTTTTTTTTTGCCTTTTATTTGAACGGAATTATCATTACGGACAGTAAGTCATATCTTTTCATAACTTTACGTTTATTCTCTTTTAAATCGCTCTTCTTCTCTTAAATTATGACGTTTTAATAAATAAATTAGTTACTATATAACAGTGGAGTGCTCATATTATTTATCTCTTAAACAATTGAAATTAATTCATATAAGAGTACGATATTTTATATTGAAATTTTCGAGAAAATATAATATTGAATATACAATACTGAACTTATTTAGTATATAGGGAATTAAAAAAACCATTTGACTCTGCTTTGACACGATTTCAATTAATGCAATACAATAACATTTCTACAAGCTATTATTGTCATGATAACATGATGACATTTTGGTTTTCAAAAGAAATTTAATCCACAAATCGGCATTAATCGCGCGCGTGCTGCATTCGCTTAACACTCAACACTTGACATCCATCATTCAAATACTTCACGGTAATCAGTAAGATCATGCAACTTGGCAATGCAATGCGCTTTTGGCGTTGCATCAAAATTACGAGAAACGCAACTATATTTTTAGCTTCTTCTATAACGTGTTGGCTATGAATATCGCAATCGTTAGCAAGAATTTAATGCGTTGCTTCTCAACTTAAATAAAATTTTATAATATTGTCGACTTATATAAAGTTTAATATTATTGTTTTCCAATTTAGCAAATATCTAATTTTTAACTGCTATAGAAAAAGTATCATTATTTATTAAAAATTTGACATGCATGCACACACATGCACGCGTGCCTCACGCACACACGGACACAGATATATATTTCTTATTCAAAAGCTCTGTGCGTGGCGCAGTCTCATAATATAAATAAAAACGCGAAACACGTGATGTTAATATAAATAATTGCAGTTACATAAAAATGACATACATATTTATTTTAGAAAAATATTGAATAAAAGATTTAATGATTAGAAAATTAAAAAGAAAAATAAAGACTAAATATATGTTTTATATTTAATCGTTTGCGTTTTAAAAAAATTATATCTCTGTTCTTCTAAAACGACTATATAATAATTTTATTATCTACATCTGCCTCCCGGATCCGTTGAATCAACTCGGTCGAGTTGTCTCCTATCCGCCAACGAGCAAATACTATGCAGTTCACAAGTGTTACGTAAATGGCTAATAACTACTTCAAGACCTTGAAACACTGACTTCGGATGCTTATGGTCGCTCCTCACTTTTTACAATAATCATAAAGACCAGCTCGTAACATACATTTAACTCTTTTACGTAATCAGATGCTATCATCAAGATACAATTTTTTTTTTCAATTTCTGTGTATAAACAAAATTTTAATTAAAAATTAATCCATTTTGCAGCGGGAAAATATATTCTCGCTGGTTGTGATTTTAAACTTTGATTACAGATATAAGAAAAAGTACAAATAATTGAAGAACAAGTAATTTCCTAATATATTTTATACATGAAATATTCTATTCGTCTTTACGTTTCTATCAATGTTTATTTTAAATGTGTGTGTGTGTGTGTGTGTGTGTGTGTGTGTGTGTGTGTGTGTGTGTGTGTGTGTGTGTGTGTGTGTGTGTGTGTGTGTGTGTGTGTAGGAATATCTATAAACTGTAAAACATTTATGTCAAATATTTAAAAAAATGCTAAATTAGACCTAACAGAGTAAAAACGAAGAAATTATTTATTGATGTTACAGAAGAAGACTCAAAGACTACAGCAAAAGATCTTGAATCTCACGAGGACGCAACTTTACCAAAAGAGACTATTACTCCAAAGGAAAATGTTAAAGAAACTATTCATATGAAAACTGGCATAATGGGTACGAAAATTCCAATGAAACTGGCGCCTTTGCGAAAAATTGAAAAAATCGACAGTTCGCGTAAAAGGGATCGACCTTCCTCGTTTGACAGACTCCAATCAAGAAGAGAAAGTGACTCGAGATCTGACAATGTAATGTCCTTATCGAGCGATCGAGCTGCAAGAGATTATACAAACTTGAAATTTCAAGACCCAAAATTTTATGAATGCCCGAAATTGCTCGAGACAAAGGACATTCCCGCAACAATTGCAACAACGACGACAACATCAGCGAAGAAAGAATTTGATCTCAAAGAAGTACTGAAGAGATCCGAATCACTGAGTCCGTGGCACGAAAAAGACTGGGAGCAGCTCTCCAGCAAATTTAGTTCAGAAGAGAACATAATTGACATTGATAGACTCAGTGCTAGCACATTGGCCAAACCAGAGAAATTCGACAAAGAGAAACATCCAAGTCAGTTGGGTCAACAAAAGGAGTTGACTCTTAGTGGTGGCGGTTCGATGTTTCTAAAAAGTAATAGGAGCAGAGATACTACACCTAGTCAAGATGGCAAGTTGGAGGACTTTCAGGCATTTACAATTTCTGATGAAACCAATAATACCGTTGGTGATAGACCCAAATCCATTTTAAGGGACAAACAACCTGAGGATGGTAAGACTGTGCATATATCTGAATAATTTTTCAGGATTAATTTTCTTATCCTGATATATTATTCTGTGGTCTTTTATAAAGTAATTATACCGAATATAGCCTACTTAAAAATGTAGGAATATTTATATTTTTTAAAAATAAAAATATTTATATTTTACGATAAATAAAATTAAATAAAATAAAAGTAATAAAAGTAATAATTTCAGTATGTAAACTAAAAATCTCAAATAATTTTTTAAATTCTTGGATTAGTATTAACATAATTTTACTACTATAATCTGAGCTTAATTCGATTGTCGATAGACGATCGACCATTGGACGAGGAGCGCAAAAGTGTGCGCTTTGACTTGGAAAAGGAATTCAACATCAACTTCACGTATTCAGAGTCCGAGGACGATTGGGACTCCGAATCTGAAGATAAAAATCCACGGATATCAACCGTAATCAGTGATAAAATTACCGGTTCTAGTCTATCTCCGCCGAAATCAATCTCGCAAAATTTTGAAGACAGCAACGACGTCAATAAAAATGACTATTCCGATGAGAAAGAGCAAGACAAAATGGATTCAGAGGTCAACAGGCAGCAGTTATCTTTGGAGAAAATCGAATCCATATCAAAAAACGCAAAAGTAGTTGGCAAGAGATTTCTCGTGCAAAACGTTTCGGAAAATGAACATCGTAGTCAGATGACGAAGAACAATATAGAAAGGGACAATAGTTTTGATTATTTACCTAACAAATTAGGTGAAAAAGTGAAAAACATTGATTTAGTGTCAAAAAGTGAAACGGATTGTAGTACTGCAAAAAGCAGTGATTCCGATGAGATGCGTAAAACAAGAGTAATTATTGCAAAACACATGTCAAATCGTTCATCAAATCAACAAGCCGAAGATGATGAGTCATCTGACATGTCGAGATTTAATCAGAATTACGTAAAGGAACGATTTAGTCGACCTAAGCTAGAATACTCTCCAAGCATTGACGAGATAAAGACGAAAATGAATAGGGAAAATGAGGAAGAATTTGAAGCTTATAGAATCGAGCTCGATATTAAGCTACAAGAAAAGAAGAAAGAACTTGAAGAAAATTTTGTGCAACAAAAGGCTTTGCTTCAACAAGTTTTGGATCAAAGATTAAAAGAAATGAAAGAGGAAATGGAACAAAAGGTATTTTCTTTTTTATTATAATATTATATTGCCAGATTTTTTACTCTTTGATTATTTTGAATGCATACATGCATTCAGTGTTTATTGTGATCTACAGGCACTCATAATGAAATCAAAAGCTCAAAATCATATATCCACACATACATATACATATACATTGCGCAAGTACTCAATATTTTAAACATGAAAAAAGTTCCGGTCGTAGCATTCGTTACTATTGCAATTCCAGCCATACAAAATGCTCAGCGTCATGTTCAAAACGCGTGCTTCATCAAAGGATTAACAAAGTATAATATATTATAAATTATAACTCCTATCTTTAAAAAAAAATTATCATACATTTTTGTTCATTGTTGTTAATCTCTTAAAATTTATATTTTTTTCTTTTTTATTTTGTCATGAACATTTTATCTTCAATAAAGAATAGATATTTGATATTTGATGATAACAATATTAGACACTAAATATTATATTACTTCAACTTCTTAAAACCATTTTATACATATTTTTAAGTAAAAAAGTCTAAGAATATTTGTCATGTTAATTTACGAAAAATTGAAATTATATTACAGATTCAAGAATCTATTACAATGTTTTATAGGAAGAACGGGAGATACAAGCATTGATCACTGAAATGGATCAAGCTAGGATGGAAAATTTGAAGAAAGTTCGCACGGAACTGGAGGTCTGCTATGAGAAAGAGAGGCAAGAGATATTGGCTAATCTAAAAACAGAACTCGACGAGAGGAAAAGGGAGCTTCTGGAATTGAGAAGTCAAGAGATGGGCAAGCTGGAGAATGAGCATGAGCGTGACCTCGGCGAGGAAAAACTAGCAAAGCTGAACGAATATGAGTTGAGGAAACAACACACCGAAAGAATCGAAATTTTAAAGAAAGAACTTGAAAAGGAATTTGAAGAATTACGAAACGAATTAAGAATACAACAACGGGAAAAGATTACCAAATTTACCGAAGATCACGAACAATGCTTAGCCGAAATTCTTCGTGATTTTAGGATGGATGTGAGTATCTAATATACACATGTACATTATGTTATGCATTAAAAGTGATATTTGATTTATTGATAGTCTATACTATTTGAAAAAAATAAAAGATTTATTATTATAATGTAGATTTTAATATAGTAATAAATTATTTCCTTTAAATCTTATTTAAAGAATATAATGTGTAAATACATTTTAAAGTAATCCAGAAAAATAATTTTATGCATAAATTAACATATTAAATATTACATAAAAATTGTTTCTCAAAGGATATCAATCCTTGCGATCGAAAAAAATATTTGGAGATAATTCATCTATTGCGATTTTAGGAAGCTCTTGCTCGTAAGATGTACAAAGAGCGATTGGAGGAAATCCGTGCGGACTTTGCAAGAGACGCCGAAAAGGAAGCGAGAAAACAGACTGAGAGAGCTCTTCAACAGGAAAGCATCGACTTTGAAAAGATGCGTTGCGAGAAACGGCTGCTGCAGGACAAGTATACGGCGCTCAAGGAAAAATATATGAAGTTAAAGAACGATGTTCGCCTTGCAGTCGAAAGAAGAAGCAGAAGAAAGGAGGGATATACTACAGCTTCAGAAACTGAGAGATCAACATCCACCAGGACGAGGACAGACAAGACCGATTCGTCGGAACAAAAGTGAGTTTTCTCTCTACAAACGGAATTGATCAACCTGGAGTATCTTGAATGTTCACATGTTCACAAATAAACTAGTGACATTGTAAAAAAGAATTTTAGTATCAATAATATTGTTTGCAAATCTTTCTCTTACTCTTCATACAATTAATGATTTTTTTATAGCAATGAGTAAATGACTTGACAGATGAAGAGATTAAATTCGAATAACAATATCTATTTTATAATTACAATCTCTAAATAATGGATGTAAATGGATTAAATGAATTAATGTAATTAAATGATAATTATTCTTCATTTAATTTTGCTAACGATTGTATAATTAGTATATGTAAATGTCTCTATTTTTAATATCATATTCTAAAAACTTTAATGAATATCGATATTGAATGTTAAATGTCGATACATAATCGAAATTTTCATTATATATTTGTTTTATTGAAAATATGCATATGAGAATGTATTATATGTCGAATTGCCTCTGATATTGTCAATATCGATATTTGTGAATATCGTTGTAATATCGGTATTACCTGAAAATTATCAGTTTTCATTTTGGTTATTATATAGAATTGAAAAATATCGATATAAGTAATTCTTACACTGTTTTTATGTTCTAAATGAAAGATAACATGTTCTGCCATGATATATTAACTTTAATCATTGTTAATAACAGCGTGCAGTGAATCTCAATTTCTGTAATTCTTAAACACGCTCAGCGTACAGCACAAGCATGCCATTTCATGTTACATCTCATTAATAGATTTTCTTCTTTTTGCAATGATTTGATGTTTCTATAGAAATTAGCGAGACTTTTTACACAAAAAGCTATATTTACGTTGTATTGTATTTTCTCTGAAGTTATTAGCGACAATAGCAAAATCTTATTCTACAATATTTTTTATATTTTTTTATTTTATAATATTTTATTTGGACATTTTGTGAGATAAAAGGATTATTACTGCCGAATTATTGAGAAATAGGAAGGGAGCAATCTTTACTATTTTAAATAAAAGCGTATTTTTCTTTTTAATCATAAATCAATTCGATAAGAATACGTGGGGTATATGTGAAAAAACTATAATAATTAATAGACATATTCTCGCTAGTTTCTATATTAAAACACTAATGTTGCATGTTCATTTTTGATATCACGTTAATATCTTCACATTAGTACCTTCGCAGTCTACATCATCAATTCTTTATTCGTTGAATAATGCCCACCGTATATCCTTGTTAAGAACACGAACGGACTGTGAAGGTACTCCGTCATGTTCATACAATTCGCCCTAATGTTCTGGCTATAGGCCTTAAATCGTGCTCGCAGTACTCCGCTGAAGAACGCGCGCTCGAGCCCAGTAACAAACGCGAAATCGCTGGACAGCCAAAGCGCGAACGAACAAGTCGAAGAGCAAAATGATCTGGAAAATTCGAAGAGTCAGAAAGCGACCGCGGGATTTCAGAAACACACATCCCCCGCTGCTGGCTTGAAAAGTACGGCAAAATTTGAATCCGACGATACCACTACCGCCAGTGAGAACACTAATATGATAACAAAGAAGAAGAAGAGCTTCAGTAAAAGAGCTACTTCGAGTGCAGGTCGCTCGAACGGTAGCAATAACAACAATGTGGAGAATCCGGTGGAAAATATTAGAAAACAGCTGAAGAAGCTGGAAGATCTCGGTGATCAGCTACCGAGCAACGAAACGGCCTATACAGTGCGATATCCTTTCCAAGATAAAGGTGATTGTTTTAAACTTATCTCGCGCGATATTTTATCAAAGAATTCTGTACTGCTTACATCCCTTTTCTCAAGGGAAATTATTGTTAAATTTTTTATTCACAACAAAATTTTACATTTAAAAACTTGAATCAAGTCAGGTCAAATAAGATCAAAGTTATCTGAAAAACAAATGTTATTTGTTTAAAAAGTGTGATATTGTAATTTTATTCAGAGACAAAAGTTTGTTGTTCTTATAGGCATAAAGCACATGAGCTTCTTTCTATTTTTTTTTTTTTCAATTTCTTATAAGTAAATATAAAAACTTAAACAATAAGAATGAGTTAATGTATAATTACAAAAAAATAATTAATTACAAAAAAGTAATAAATTTTGGTTAGGAATAATTTTATTTTAGAATCATTGTAAATAATTGTATACCTCCTTTTTAATATAGTTTATTTTATGTGATTTAAACGATATATGTTTTAAATTACGTTATGTGTAAGTAAATGATAGTACTTACGATATGTTAAATTTTATAAAATATAATTAACACTCTTTTATGTTACATTATTTTATATTACACTATATTACATTACAATATTTTGTAAAAATTATATAGACAATTAATAGAATATTAAATATTTATGTATGTATTTGATAATTGTAAATAACTTTTGTACATACAACACTTTTGTATATATCTCTCGAAATTAATTTTATTATCTTTTTAATATTTTTGAGCCTCACACTTCTCTATCTCTATTAAAATATCACTAAATAATTGACACAAGGTAATATATATCATAATTGTCTCCAATTTTTTATTTTTTATTTATTAAATAGTTTATTTTCGGTAAAGTATATTGTTATGAACATATTGCTTTTAGAAATATGTAAATAATATAACAAATATAATTTTTTCAAACTGAATTTTAGCATATATTATTTGTATTATTTATATCAATAGAATAATTGTCTTATTATTTATTTCTCTTTCTTTTTCATAGGATTATATACACTTTACTTTGGTTAATGGCTTATATCTTTCCGGCTCGTAAGTGCACCACCAGTTTTTCTTTTGCTTTCGCACGCTGTTTTCATATATTCGTTTCTCAATCACTTTTTTCATCTCAACATCAAATTTTTAATATTTAAGGCTAAAAATTTAGAGTTAAGTACAATTTTTTTATTTAAATTAAAAGCAACAGTATTTTCCTTTGCAGCATTAGCGAATGCCTCTTCGGAGCTAGAATTCTTCCGACACCGGATGCATGTGGAAAAGGATTCGGTGAGGAGAGCTTGCGAAGCGTTGAGACAACAAAAAAGTGCCTTTCAGGGTAGGCAAAGAGCTTGGAAACAACGGAGCGGAAGAGCCACTCTGGAACAATTAGTACAGGTTGTTCTAATGTCGTTCTGTTGTCGATTAGAAAGTAAAAATAATAGGTTACACTAGTAATAGGTTGCTAAAAAAATATGTTTTAGTATACATACAATTCTGTATAAAATGTATAATTCTTAATTCTTTCAAGCTCCTCTAAATTTCTTTCAATACTCAAATAATATGCAAGATAGTAGCGTATGTGTATGGCCATTAATATTTCTACTTTCTTCTTTAATAAGATAAAAGAAATTTGAGAAAACAACTGTCTTTAATGATAATTTTTTTTTTATGAAAAGTAAATGGATTTTGAATACTTACTCTTCAATTAGGAGGAACGCGAGCTCTCTGAAATGGAGGTGAGTTTGCATCGCACCAAAAGCCTTTTAGGTGAGAAAATCATTCATTTGAGGCATTTGGAACAATCTTTGGAACGAGTAGCAAATGATAAGCGAAATGAAAACGATGCCAAAACCGACGAACTGAGCGACATGTCGAGTGCCAGCAGCGGTTTCAGCTCGACTGATTTAGGAACTGATACTTTTATAGGTGAGTTGCACATTAAATTTTGGAATCGTTAAATTATTATTACAAATTTTAAAGAAAATCAATAAAAATAAACAAATCTTATTATTGATAATTAATAATTAATGATTAATAGTTAATGATCAATAGAAAAGTGTGATTCTCTCTTTTATCTAGCTCTCTCTCTCTCTCT